GCCCGTGATAAGTTATTTATTTTGCTTTCAGAAGATGATATTATTATATAGCATTTTTTATTCAAATTTTATATTTTAATTTAATTGAATAAGTAAATATAAAAAACAGTTAATGAAAAATATTAATATTAATAATAAATATATTTGTATTAAAAATGAATACAGATAAAAAAAAAAAAAACTAATATTGTTGTTGATAAATAATTTTATAAACTTCTGAGTATAATAAATATATAACGTTTTTTGTTCTATCTCCTGTTGAAATCAAAATCATTAGATGATTCGGGTCCCCAATTTGAGAAAATAATATTGAAATATATAAATAATAGAACTCGTACGTACTTATTATTAGGTTTATCGTATATATTAAAAATATTTTGTGTTCATTCAATATACCTATTTAGTATTTAGTATTTATATAGTATATATTTATTTTATTAATTTATTTAATCTTTTTATTTATTATATATTTGTTTACAGGTATCAATAATGGGTTATAGAACCCAAAAAGTTTTATTTGTCGGGATTCGAAATAAATATTGCATAATTTGTCAAAGATCATCAAGTATGAAGGACAAAGAAAAACCTGTGCATACAAGTTTCCTCAACTGGAAAAAGGCTTCAACATGCATGGAAGCAGATGGTGTRCTACAAGGATTTTCCAACAGCGTTGAAATGCATGGTCATAAATACAACTGTTTAATTGGTAGGTAAATTATGAGTTAAATTTGAATTAAAAGATATCATTGTATACGAATAACGATTGAGCAGAGACGGTCCGTCCAAATTTTGTAAAATTTGAACACAATTATTCTCTATAAAAAAATTGCATGTGTTTATTATATTAATAATAATAATTACAATAATTACAATAATTAATAATATTTTGATATTAAGGTGATGGAGATAGCAGCGTTACTAAACGGTTAGCCGAAAGTCGACCATATGGCTTTAACTTTACAATAAGAAAAATTGAGTGTGACAACCATCTTATGAGAAATTATGCTTCGAAACTAACAACACTGGCTAGAAATTCGAATTACCCTCTCGTGTTCGCAAATTTATATTATCAAATATTAAGAGATTTAGAAGTGATGTTCAGATGGCAGCATTACATTGGAGAAAAKAAACCAATACTACCAAATCACAAAAAATTAAAGGTACCTATAATACATAATAATATGTTCTATTTATTATTTTGAATTTGGTTGGAGTAGGATAATAATTTAATTTAAAATGTGTATGTTGTTACTTGTTTTATCATATAGGGTACAATATTTTTTACTATTGTTGGCTAATTTACCAAAATTTCTTCTTTGTCGCATAAACAGGCTAAAGTATATATCATTTTAGGTCTCAATAGTGATTTAATCAATGCACCATATCACAGAATTGGTCATTATTCAAATTGTAGCTCATATTTTTGTGATCCGTTAAAACAAGTTCAATTAAATTTAGTCCCAGAAGCCGAAACTGGTGGAATGATGAGGGAAATAGTAAACATTTCTTCAAGGCTTGTAACCAATGCGGAAAGTTTATTAGAAAATAAGACGTCTAATATCTGTGAACAGTTTAATTCTGTTATTATTTTATTAATAAACACGTTGCCGGAAAACGATTAAATTTTAGTARTAGAGGTAATTATAATACGAGAGTAGAAGCTGCAGTTGTGTCATTTAATTCCAAACAATATTTAAGACAAATTCATAAAACATCTACTAAATGCAGTCCAGGTAAAATGCATATTTATATTTAATAAAATAATAACTTTAATAAGTTAGCGACACAATTATTATTTCATTACAGGAATATTTGGGAAAATTTTTTCAAGAACATTGAAAGAATACTGCTTAATACCAGTAAAAGAAGACAGTTATTTCCGGAAAAAAAGAAAAGTTAAAAAATCTAAAACGGAAGGAGAAGACGAACATAATGGACTGACTGAACCTCTAATAGAATTTTTTTCATCAGAAAAAATGGAAAACAAAAAAAGTAAGTTTTTAGAAAAATTAAGTCGAGCTGATGTAAAAAAAAATTAAATTTGAAACTCGAGACCAAAGCAACAGCAAAATGTGGTACAACGAACGTAAAATACGACTGACAGCTTCAAGATTTGGTCAAATTTGTAAAATGCGGTCAAACACTAGCTGCAAAAATKTAGTTCATAATATTTTATATGCTTCTGACACTCTACAAACAAAATCAGTACAGTACGGTAGAGAAATGGAGACTAAAGCTCGTCAAAAATTTGAACAATTGTCGAAAGAAAAAGTTTATGAGAATGGTTTGATTATAGATCTAGAATTTCCATTTCTAGCTGCTAGCCCAGGTAACAGAACAAATAATTTTTCTACCAAATATTAGTTACATGAATTATAATTTATATTTTAAAAATAAGAAATTATTAAATCGCAAGTTTATAATATACATATAAAAATTAAGTCTAAAATACGATAAATATATAAATCTGATTAATAACCCCCAACATAGGGTGGCTGCTGACACATTTTTTGTAATATTCAACTTATTTTATAGATGGCCTTATTGGTGAACATTATTTATTGGAAATAAAATGTCCATATTCTGCTCGTGATTCAAACGACGCCATAGAAGCAGTGAACAGTAAACTTGTAAGTGTTAAATTAGGTATGCTTAATTATAATTTATAGGTGTATTTATCAAAACACGTCGAAACGGTTAGGTTAGGTTAGGTCAGATAATGACTTTCACTAGATCTAGATTGACTACTAACTATAATTACTCTATAAATGGTTTAAATCTTCTCCGTTCTACTGATCCTATTAAAGATCTTGGTATATTATTTGACCCAAAGCTAAAATTTGATTGTCATATACACATGATTATTAATAAATCGTATCGACTTTTAGATTTTATTAGTCGTAATTGTAGGGACTTCACTGATAAACTTACTATTAAATCGATTTATTGTTCGTTAATAAGACCGATCTGTCAATACGGTTCTATAGTATGGTCTCCTTACCAGGCAGGGAAAAAAAATAAGATTGGAAAAAGTACAGCACAAATTCTTACGCTACCTCTCATTTAAATGTTCCATACCTAGAGAACCTCACAAATCCTACAATCTACTCCTATCTTAATTAAACCTCCAAACGTTGGAACATAGATGTATGAAAGGCTTGACTTATGTTTCCTATATAAGATTTTGAATGGCAATGTAGACTGTCCAGATTTTTTAAGCCGCTTAACCTTCTATACTACCACTTTTAACACTCGCCTGCAATAGATTAATGCAAACTATTAATAAATTTAAAATTGATATGTTCAGCTCACCAAATCAGAAATCTAGACTCATTCAAATCGTATTGTAGTTATTTAATTCTTAATACTTAAATATGTATATTTCAATAGCTATTGTACATTTGTTTATTATTAATATTTTCAACCGATTTCCTTAGACATATTTAATTATATGTCTATGATTATTACTATTAATACTACTATTATTATTATTACTTTTATTGTTATTATTATTATTATCATTATTAATTTTACGTCCGTTTTTTTGTGTACGCCCGTAGTTTTTAGGTATAAACATGCACCATACACCTTCTCGGACGCATCTGTGAAACCGTGTATTTCTGTATTGACCTCTACCTGTTGTACTGTATATGTAGAATAACATATCATTATCTGATTTCCAATGCAGACCTAGTATTTTTGTCATTAGCTCACCCATACCTCTTGTGTTATTGTTCTCGGAATGCACGTTGACTATTAACTCTGGGTCATTAGATAACCATTTGCGCAGTTCTAAACCGGCTTTACTCATAATCATCTCGTAATTGCATTGCACCGGCTTTTGATATTGCACCACCTAGATAGTCGTCCATATAAAAATCTCTAATAATTGATTCGCCAACCTCCGGAATACTATCACATTCCGTTTTTGCCAAATTTTCGAGACACGCTGTTGCCAAATACGACGCCGGCACGGTGCCGTAGGTTAGTGCATTTAGTTATACATGGATCGGTTGTGTCGGTTCAGGTCGCCATAACACACGTTGAAAATCTCGCTGATCTTCGACAACTAAAAATTGACGATACATTTTCTCGATATCTGCCGTAAACACATAATTATAAGTACGAAATCGTATTAATATATATATTAAATCGTCTTGAATAGACTGACATTTAACTCATTAATGGCCAAAGTTGCGTGTACGCAACGTTAATTTCAATATTTTTTTTTGACTAGATTAATAATTTTTTTTAATTCAAATGTTATACTATTTGATTAAGGAGACATCAATTAATAAATTAAAACTACAAATATTGGGTTTGCGTTTTCATGATCAGTATTATATGGTTCAAAAGTAAGATATTTTTGGTGTATACAATTCTATATATTTTTTTAAATTTAAAAAAATATAATTTTGTCTTATAAAATTTAAACTGTGTAAAAATCTTTATTTTCAAATAGTATATTATGTGTTTTCATTGTTTTTATTAACTGTTGTTCATTGTTCAAGTTACAATATTGTCATTCAAAGTTAATGTTGCGTTCACGCAACGTTGGCGGTTTGTAGTGTAAAATCCCAATACCCGTAGTTCTTTATCTGTCATGTTCCCACGTACACCGATATTGCCGTTATCATAATAATGTATTTATTAGTGTTTACTWATATCAAGTGATATTTATAGACTATATAATACCCCAATATAATATTAAAAAATAGTAGATAAGATCATACAAACTCGATTTTGTTGATACAATTGCATTCGTTCGATTTGTTTTATCATAGCAACATTTTATATTTCTGTCCTTCGCTGCTTTTCATGTACGATTTTTTGGTTTGGTCAATCGCAATAAGAATATAAAAAGTAAGTTTTATTTATTTTTAATAATAATTATGAAATATATCTACATATTAAATCAAAACTTAGGAATAATTTATTAGAAAAGTTTGTGTTGGTATTTTACCAACTAGCAATATTATTATTTATTATTTGGTATARAAATGAGTCAGTTTAAAAAGTTAAGAACCGCAGAAGAGATATTGGATTATTTAGATGATGTAGACGCGAGTGATGATCAACCCACTGATATTATTATAGTTCCCCCAGATGTTGATAGTCTCACTGATGACGAAAATATAGATGATAATGGCATTTTAATAAATGATGATACAGATTTCCTCAGTAGTAATATATGCGGGACATTTGAAGTTTTAAATAATAATTTTGAATATGCTGAACCTTCAAATGTCGGCTCTCAACCACAAAAAAATCCTAGGAAAAAGAAAAAAGTAGATAATACAAAACAATGTGATACKCCAATGTGGAAATCTAAAGCAAATCCCGTATATTCGTCATTTTCCGAAAACGTCGAAAAAGAAAATATAAGAAAGCTTATTGAAAGTTATGAAGGAATAGATCCACTCAAATGTTTTTCTTTATTTTTTGATGACACTGTACTGCAGTTAATAGTTAACTTAAGTATGAAATATGCTCAAGATCAAAATAGACACGATTTTTTTCTTCAAGATTCTGAACTTCTAAAATTCATTGGTATTATGATACTAACAGACTACCATACTTTACCTCAAATGGATTTCTACTGGAGTAAATACGAAGATAAAGATATCACATTAGTTAGAAATACAATGTCTAGAAATAGATTCTGTTATATTAAAAAAAATTTGCATTTAGCAGATAACAATAACCTTGATCCATCGGATAAATTTATAGGTTTGTATATTGAGCTTCTTAGTTCTTGTTTGTAATTTTTTATTTTTACCAGTTTGTGTCACTGAAAATGGTGCTAATATTTATTAAACTTATGCTCATGTTAATATTTACCTGGGTTGATTTCTGTACTCTTGGCAGTATTTTTATTGTCTCTAGTGACGTAGAGATTTCGCAATTTTCCTGATTCTTGAAAAGGAAATTTAATAAGAACAAGTTGCCCAGGTGTGTATTCCACGAGTTTATGAATTTTGTCAAAGTGTTTTTTTTTTGTGTTGTTTGTACCGATGATATTATTTCTGATAGTTTTAGTCTGATATTTTTAAGATTCATAAGTGATGATTTTACATTATACATTAAATGTTCAGGTATTATTTTGTTGTCAATTGGTAATTGTGGTTCAAATCCATGCATTAGATAAAATGGACTGAAATGCGTAGTTGTTTGTACTGAGGTGTTGTAACCAAATATGATAAATGGTAAATAGAAGTACAATCTAGATTGTTTATTTTCGGTCATGTAATGTTTTAATGCTTGACATATCGTACCATTCGTTTTTTCGACAAAGCCCTGAGTTTGAGGAGCTAGAGGAAAACATTTGTTCAATACCAAAATTTTCACATACTTTGTTCACAGCTTCATTTCTAAAATGTGAACCTCTATCTGAACACAATTTTCTCGGTATGCCCCATTTTGCTACGAAATTAAATAAGAACTGTACAACAGAATCGGCATCTGCATATTTCATTGCTTTGACTATGACGTATTTGGTAGTATTACAGGCTGCTACTTGGATATATTTTTGGGGCTAGGTAAATTGAGTCCGAGATAAGTTTGGTACATTTTGAAAGCAGTAAATTGAGTCCCGGAAAAAATGTGGCAGTAGGTAATTTGAGTCCCAGGGAAAAATGATTTATATGCATTTAAAATTTAAAAATRTGCAATTTAAAATTTTTATTTGTGATTTATGGACATTCATGTTGACTGCATGTATATGATTTTGAAAATAGCAACATGCAATTTTATTGCATAAAAAAATAATTATATAATTAATAAAAATGCAATTAAATTGCATGTTGCTATTTTCAAAATCATATACATGCAGTCAATGAATATCCACAAATCACAAATAAGAATTTTATAGTGCACATTTTTAAATTTTAAATGCATATAAATCGTTTTTTCCGGGACTCAACTTACCTACAAACTATTTTTCCCCGGGACTCAATTTACCGAGTTAGGGTCATTTGGGACTCAATTTACCAACCCCGGTCTAATGCAGTTTATATTTGCACCTGAATCTAACGTTATCGGAAATTCGGCATTGTTTATTCTACCTTTAATGAAGAGTGAATTTGATTTTTCATTGTTAGCAATTGATTGTAAACTTTCTCTGATGCGATTTGCTATAGTGTTAAAGGTATATGTTGTGCACTAGCTTTAACATTTAACCTATGTGTTAATTTTTTTGTTCTTCGTCTTTGTTATATCTAAATCTACATTTTAATGCCTTATGATTAGATTTTTCGCAAATTTGACAAGCGCCCCACTGAAAGCATTTATCAGCTGTGAAATGGTTTTTCGCATATTTGACATACTATATTCTCCCTATTGTTGATATTTTTTTCTATGTTAGTATTATCGTTTTTATTATAATGTTTACAATCCCGTATAAATTMAATTTTTAATTTATTTAATTCATTTTGTAGTTCCTCAACTTCAGTATTTGTGTGTTATGTTATTTGTTGAATTTGTTCTCTCAATATAGATGTTTTAATCGAATTAGAATTATTGTTATACGAGTCTGCAGATACCATGAATTCTACTGTTTCGTATTTCCTAATATTATTTTTTATTTCGTCAACAGAATTGTTATCTAGGATTGATATATATATATCTAGCTATTTCARGACGTAGTCCTTTAAGCATATGATGTACAAGTTCTTTTTCTGTCATATTTTTGTCTAGCCGTCTACATAATGATTCCACTTCATTTAAATAAGAAGTTACGCTCTCATCTTTTATTTGTCTTTTTTTATTGATAAGTGTTCTTAATAATTCCTTGTGAGCAACTGGTTCAAATTCTTATCTAAACTTGTCTTCAATAGTCTCCCATGTTAATTTGTTGTGTTTACTTTCTAAATTTTCAAAAAAACTAGAGCCGTACTCTCCAAGTACATTGGTTAATATGTAATTTTTTTAAGTTCTGTCCAATTATTAATTGTCGAAGCTCTATCATATCATACCTGTGCTACCACCTATTCCACATAAATCATGATTCACATGTTTCTTTTTTAACTTTAATAGCTGTACCATTTGCTCTGTTATCAAATAACTTTGAGATCCAGAATCTAATAGTACGCGTCCCGGGACCCATTGCCCTGACTCACTGCGCAATGACACCATCGCCGTCAACAGTAATACCTTGTCGTCTTGTATTACCGATTTTTTTGTGTAATAATTTAATACTTTTAATAATAATACATAATATTTTGTCTTTAAAAATTTAATATTTACCAGAATAATATAACACTAATAATTAATAACTGTGTACTACAATATTATTTAATTTTGTTTGTTTCATTTTTATGAATGCATTATATTCTGTAATATTAAATTGGTACTTTGTAATAAATATTATTTTCTTGTGTAATAATAAAATTAATTGTCTTTGGGTAGGTACCCAGTGGCAGCTCGTCAAGGGAGGCAAGTGAGGCTCAGCTTCACCTTAGTATTGTAAAGAAAAAGGAGGGACATATTCTATAATTATTGTTATTTCTAATCTAATTCAAGAATATTAAAATACTCAATAATATATTATACATTTAAAAATACAAATATTTTTGTTATTAATGTTATTATACATTATTATATTGACAAAAAAATGTATTTTATCGTGTATAATATTATTATGATAGTACGTCATACTTCGTCACTATTATCAAAAATCACGTCGAAGATGTTCGTTATTCGTTGAACGATAGAACGATCTCGACGAAAACCGAAGAGTGCCGAGAGGCTAGTAATATTTTGCCTCAGACGAGTACGATTATAAAATATATCATGGTAGAGGGGGAAGTCGGAATTTTATTATGAAATGAGGCAGAATGATTCGGGCCTCAGAGTTTGTCAACATTATCCATTAGTCATTTGTCGAAGCAACGTAACTTCCACTAGGTAATAGAAATAGGAACTGGTAGGTTGTAATCTTGTTTAGTGTAAGTGTATACCTAGTGTCTAATATCTTGTAATTTGTACTACAGTTTAGTAGATCTCTGAGAGTAATAAATAAAAAAATAATTGACAAATATGCATTACTCAAAGACAGAAGAATAGATTTAATTTATAAAACATAATATAAAATTATTTTTTTTATTGTTTTAGTAAATGAGATTTACATAATAAGTATTATTTTATTTTTTTTAAGTTGACTTTATTCTTATATTTCAGATAATATTAAGTATGGTTTATTATTTATATATTTTTAAAGATTAATATTAAATATTAAATTGAATTATTTTAAAAGTTAATTTAAA